AAAATAATAATTAATATGCATATGAGGGAAAACCATTATTTATAATTAATAAATATACATCATTTTCAAATGTAAATATAAACTATTTATCATCAAAAAGGATCATTCTATTGTATCAATAATTTTGTATTTCTAATAATTCTGTATTTATAATAATTTTGTATTTATAATTTTGTATTCGTCGGGCATATCATATTTTTGCCACATTTCGCTTATATAATTCAAACATATATATATATTTTTTTATTTACATTTATATACATCCCGGGGATCAAAATACGTTTTCAATAAATTTACATTGATTGATTTTAAAATATTCTTTTTTATTTAATGTTCAAATGCAAAAATTATAGTGTATAGAAAATTTACAACTATTGAAATAAAAATATTTCGAAATGTGATAAATTGAAAATTGCTTTAAAGTTTAAATTCAAAATGTATTTTTAAATAAACATTAATTTTTTAATCCAGTTAAAATGATTCTATAGAATTTTACAAAAAAATATTTTCTTTAAATAAATAAACAAAAAGTGTCATAAAATTATTCTAGGGAAATTCTAAAATAAAAAATTCACTGCTCTTTGGAATATTAAAATAAAATATTCCGGGGACTTGTTCTAATTTAAGATCTGAGAAATTGCTGTTAGGAATAAAAAAAAATTTTTTTTTCGAGTTCATTCATGAACACTTGTGATGAGTAAACTGTTGTCATTTGAGCTATTAGCGAAGCTGTAAATCACAAGAGACTGAAATTCGCATTACTCGTTCATTTTAGCCCTTCATGTTTCAAGGGAGTATTGTAGTGGTTTGGCATAGAGCCAAATACCCAAGGCTTCTGCAATTAAGGATATTAATTTTCATTTCCCGTAGACAGAGAAATCTACACGAACCCACCTTTAAATCCGCATTCAAGTTGCGATGAATCCAAATTTTTCACAGAAAAAAAAAAAAATTTGAAAATTTATTTTTTTATACCTAAATGAGAGAATTTGGAATATTTTCTTCATTGTCCCCTGGAATACACGCAGTAGAATAAAATACTGAAACTCAATTTTAATTCTCCCAGGCAAAAATACATGAAAAAAGTTTAAATTCATAACAAAAAAACTTATTTTGCATAATAAAAAAAATTAATTCTCAACTAAATGAATGTTCAATTTGCCGTTATTTTCCATTTTAGTGTAGTACAATTTTCCTAAAATACTGAAACAGAAGAAAAGTTTTATTCACTCGAACGTTTGAAAACTTTATAATAGAACTACTATTATTGTCGATAAAGAGAATGTTTGCATTATTTGAAGCAAAATGTAATGCGAAGCAAGTTTCCATGGGGGGTTAAAGTATCTGTCGATTACTCAGGTGATATTGACCAGTCGTCTAATGGAATTACTTATCCGATAAGTCAATGTAACCAGACCTATTCAAGTCAGAATCTACTTCAGTCTAATTGAACTTGCTTCTGCACTTTAGTTTATTATGGATTATATCAAATGAATTACCATACGAAAATTATCTAATTAGTCTAATTAGAATTTTTGTCTTCTCTCTTATACGTTCATTCAATTCAGATAATTCAACAAATATTTAATAATAAATATTTATTTAATATTTATTTAATATTAAATATTTATTTAGTAATAAATATTAATATTACCACAAATATTTAATTTTGTTTTTCCCTGATTTCCAGACAAAATTTTCACTTTTTCCCTGACCCTAAATAATATTCTAATTCACTCTAAAAATTATTATATACTCAAAATTCTATTAAATTTATTTACAAATTTCGTTAATTGTAAAATTATTCGAAAACATTAATAGTTTTATTAAAAAAAAAATATTTAATCATTATTATTTTTCCATAGTAACTAAGATTTAAAAAAATTTTTAAATCAAACGTATTAAAATTAACAACTTATCAAAATTTTATTGTAAAACATGAAGAAATCGATCACTCCGAGTCTTCGACTCGAAGCGATCGATATCTTCATGTTTTATAATAATTTAAATTACCATAAAATTTTTCAAAAAAAATTTAATTATTTACAAAAATTTTAATAAAATCTTTCACAACAATTCAATTATTTTTACAAGTAGTAAAATTTCTCAAAAGAATTCAATTATTAGAAAGATATGTAATAAAATTCGTTGAAAGAATTCAATTATTTTTCTAAATAATAAATCGATTATTTGAAAATTCATTTTTAAATGAACTTTTATTAGAAAATTTCACAAAAATTTAATTATTTAAATTCAAAATAAAATATTTTATTGAATAATTGAATTTATGTTAAAATCGAATTCTCATAAAGAATTTTATCAACAAATTTTTAAGTAATTGAATTCTTCTAACGAATTTTAATATAATTTTTAAAAATGATTACTTTTTTTGAGGAATTTGATTAAAATTGTATCAAAAATAATTGAAATCCTGCTATGAATTTTACTACTTATTAAAATAATTGAATTCCTTAAAAAAAATTTATTATTTATAAAAATAATTGAATTATTGAGAAGAAATTTAAAAAAAATTTGTAAATAATTGAAATTCTGAGAAATTTTTATTATTTATGAAAATAATATTGAATGTTTGCGTAGAATTTTATTAAAATTTTTTTAAATAATTGAATTTCAGCGAAGAATTTTGCTGTTTATAAAGATAATTAAAATCATGACGAGAATTTTTTTTTCATTTTTGATAATAATTGAATTTCTGAAAAGAATTTTATTATACTCTTGAAAATAATTTTATTCTCGTGATTAATATTGTCATTTATGAAAATAATTGAATTATTGCGAAAGAATTAAAAAAAAATTGTAAACAATTACATACATTCCTGTGAAATTTTTATTCATTATGAAAATAATTGAATCATTGCGAAGAAATTTATAAAAAAAATTTGTAAATAATCGAATTCCTGTAAATTTTTTATTATTTCTGAAAATAATTGAATTACTGCAAAGGAATTTATAAAAAAAATTTCTAAATAATTGAACTCCTGCGAAATTTTTATTATTTATGAAAATAATTGAATGTTTCTTCAAATTGAATTCTCATAAAGAATTTTATCAAAAAATTTTTGATTTCTCAAAAATTTGTAATAAAATTTGTAAGAATAATTACTTTTTTCGAGGAATTTGATTAAAATTGTATAAAAAATATTTAAAATTCTGCGATGAGTTTTATTATTTATGAAAATAATTGAATTTATGTAAAAAATTTTGTTTATAAAAATAATTGAATTATTGAGAAGAAATTTATAAAAAATTTTGTATATAATTGAATTACTGTGAAATTTTTATTATTTATAAAAATACTTAAAATTTTGACGAGATATTTAAAAAAATTTTAATCATAATTGAATTTCTGCGAAGAATTTTACTACTTTTGAAAATAATTTAATTTCTCCAATCATTTGCAACTTTTCCAAAATTCAATTTTTGTTTAGTATTTTTAATTAAAATTCTTCTATAAATCTATTATTTTCAATAATTAATTAAATATATATTAAAAAGTGTCACTAATTTCAGAATTTGAAATTTGAATTATTAAAATTTTTGAAAAATCTAACTTTATTATAATTTCTAATTAAATGCATTCACAATTGAAATTTTGTAAAATTTAAAATTAAAACCTCTTTTGAAGTTGATCTATTTATGAAAATTGTAAACGCAATTCTTGTAAAATTCAATTAATTTAGATATATTTAAATAAAATTATTCATTAAATAATTTATAAGTAATAATTTTGTGATAGCTCCTCTTCATGAATTGAGTTATTTTAAAAGAAATTATTGTGAGAAATAGAAAAAAATTGAAGGTTTTGTATTAGAATTCTTGTCAATTTCAGTTTAATTTCAGTTTATGAGTCAAACAAAAAAACATCAAAATTCAGAGTTTTCTTATGAATTTAAAAAATTTAATTTTTTCCAGTACTTTTATTATTAAAAATCCCTGACTTTTCCCTGATTTCTCTGACCTGTGGCAACTCTGTTCATTAAAAAAAAAAATTTTTCCAAAAGAGTAATGTATCGTTCAAAAGAGTAAATTTGTTTCGAAATTTTGTAAAAATTTTGTAAAAAAAGCAGATCATTGTTATACGAACAAAAAAAATTTTAATATACCTATAAATTTTCAATGCCTCGAGGTATTTTTAGGTTCTCTTTACTATGTATGGAGTCAAACATATTTTTAACAAAGGTTATTAAAGCAATTTTTTAATAATGCTCTAAAATTTTTTTAGTATTAAAAAAACGATATTGTAATTAACATTTAGTTTTAAATTAAAATTAAGACTACATATAATTAAAATTGTAATAAAAATTGGACTTATAATAAAAATTGGAATAGCAATTGGAATTATAATTAAAATTGTAATAACAATTGGAATTATAATTAAAATTGTAATAGCAATTGGAATTATAATTAAAATTGTAATAACAATTTTAATTAAAAAAAAAATAATACCGCCTGATAGGCTGGGATGAAAATTTCGGGATTTTTTTGGCAAAAAACCAAAACGTTTTTGCGTTGAAAAGTTTTTATTTTTTTAATTTTTAATTTTTCGTTTTTTTAAACGTTGCGGACTTCAGCCTCATACGGTATATGAGGTCTCACTCCTTTTTTTTCGTAGATAATTAAAAGACAATATTAAATCGATTAAATTAAGACCGAAGAGCATAATAAAAAATAAAAAACAAATGTCCTCTATTAATATGTCCATTAAAAATATTTTTATCTTCGAATTCTTGGACTAAAAAATTTTTTTTGCACGAGAACTGAATTAATTAATGGAAAAGAAGTACAATAATTATTTCTCCAGTAATTAATTAAATTTCAAGCTCTCATACTTTGGATAAAAATGAAATAAAGTAAAGAATTTTTTTTTTCCCATCCACCTCGTACTAATTGTAATTAGTGGCACAATTTTCGCTTGACTCAGATTTCGAGTTTAAATTAAACATGAATTAACTAAGGTAATAATTTTTTTTTTCTTATAGGTACATTGGTGGACTACAATTATTTGCAATTTTACGGTAAGGTTTACGTGATGAAAGCCGTGGGAACGCACATGGTCCTGACATTCTGCTCATCATCAACAGATCAACATCCTGGACTACTCTATTCTGTATTAATGTCTCGTGATCATATTTTAAGTATCAATGACATTAATGGAGTGCACAAATTATTAAATCGACGTGATTTAAAAATATCAAAAATCAAAAAATCATGCGCCAATGGTGGCGCTAATTCGCAAATAATAAGTAATTTTAATTTCGGTTGGCTGGTCCTACTGGGAATTATCACGTCTTCCGGCCTCTTTTCAAGTTTCACTTGGCATTAATTAATTCTTTTTTTTTATCATTTTCGGAAAAAAAAAGATATCGATATTCGACGCGAGACTCGCGCTTAGAATATAATTGTTCGAAATTCAGAGTGCATGAAAAGTCACTTTCCTGGAATATCGGATTTGAAAAGCAATTCTGACATGATTCAAGATCCTTGAGATTTTAAAATCGAATCCTACAAATCACTCCTCGGGATCTTTGACACAGTCAATCTTTTGACATTACGTGATTCGAATTCGGAAAAAAAAATTGTTCAATTTCTCTCTCTCTCTCTAACTCTCTGTACGAATAGATAAATCTTATTTGTATAGAAAAGTACCGAGAGACAGAGAGATAGAGAGGATTGAGGAAAAATCTCATTTATAATAATTCTAATCTTGTATAATTTTCCAAATTTTCCTCAATTCGAAATTTTTCATAATGTATAGAAAAAAAAATATTTTTAGAATCTAAATTTTTTACTATTGTTTCTCTAATTTCAAAATTATGAATTGTAAATGATGTTTCATTTCGAATATTTTTTTTATGTTTTTTAAATATTTTTAAAATTATTTTTCTAATATTTTTTTCTTTTTTTCTGTTTCTTTTTTTTGTTTCGACTGGAAATATTATAGTTCCATTTATAGAAAATTTCTAGAAATTAAACGCAGGGATCACAGTTAGTCAATTTTATTACACAATCAATTTTTTTCCTTTTAAATTACTAAAATTCACTAAAAAAAAAACCTAAAATCCCTAAAAACCATTTCTCCCTTTAAATAAAATCTAAAAAAATATAAATTTTTGCTTACAAAGTAAAACTCAAATTGTTTCGAATTTCTGTCAAGAAATTTCTGTTTCTAGAATAAATTTTATTTAATTGAAAGTATATTTTCTCAATTTTTATTAAACAAAATTTTTTTGACAAGTATTTTATTAAAAATCTTTAAAATAATTGAATTTTGAAGAAGAATTTTATCAAAATTTTTGAAAATAATTTAATTTTTGACAAAGAATTATATTAATTTTTGAAACTAATTCAATTTCGGATAAGAATTTTATTACTTTTGAAAATAATTAAAATTTTGGCGAGAATTTTTAAAAATTTTAGAACATAATGTTCAATTTACTTATTATCTAACATTTTAACTAAAATTCATTTTTAAATCAATTTCTATTAGAAAATTCTACGAGAATTCAATTCATTAAATAATACAAAATTAATTAATTTATTAAATAATTGAATAAAAATTAAATTGAATTCAATTTTTTTGACAAATTTTATGAAAATTTAAAAAAATAGTTCAATTATTTCGAATAATTTTATTAAAATTGTATTAAAAATAATTAAATTCTTTCGATGAATTTTTTTATTTATGAAAATAATTAAATTCTGATAAATAAATGTTAACAGAATTTTTTAATTTTTTCCTAACGTAATAAAAATTTGATTTTAAACATTATAACTGCATAATAAATTTTTACTATCGAAGTAAATTTTTCTGATTTTTATTCAGGAATTTTCTTTGGAATCAACAAGAATTCTTCGGGAAATAAAAATTTTTAATATAGTAAATCTTACTATTTTTTGAATGAAATTTTCCAAAGTCCGCAGTGAATTTTACTAATTTTTGTACAAAATAAAAAAAAAATTATTCTGGAAATAAAAATTCTTATAATAAATTTTATTATTTCCAGAGACAATTTTGGTAGCATTTTTTTTTTATTTTTTTCAAACTTAGTAAAATTTATAATTAAAAATTATTATTTTCAGAGTAAATTTTACTACTTCTGCAGTAATTTTTTCTAATTTTTCTAAAGAAATTATTATAAATTCAAGGAAACAAAATTTATTCTGGATCAAAAAATTTTTAATAGTGAATTTTCCTATTTTGGCTGAAATTTTACAAGGTTGGAACTAAATTTTACTTTTACTTTGATTAAAATTTACTCTGGAGATATTAATTTTTTTATAGCGAATTTTAATTATGCCACAATTTATTAAATTTTGGTAGAAAATTATTTTAAATTTTCTTCAAACAAAGTAAAATTTGTTACTAAATACTAAAAATTATTATAATTCCCTGGTACATTTTACTATTTCTGAAGTAAATTTCCCTAATTTTTGTAAATTCTTCAAGAAAATAATAGTAAAAATTATTTTGAAAATAAAAAGTGTGAATAGTAAATTTTACTATTTTTTGAAAAAAATTTTTCCAGTTTGAAGTAAATTTTAATATTCTTTATTAATAAAATTTACTTCAGAGGTATAATAAATTTTATTCTGGAAATAAAAATTCCCAATAGCAAATTTTACTATTTGCACAGTTAATTTTAGTATAAAAATTTGTTAAATTTCTCTTGAAGTTAGTAAAAGTTTATTATTGCAAAAATATTATTATTCTGTTCTTGGAGGAAATTTTACCAAGACCGAATTAAATTTTATTATAATTTTTACCAAAATTTACTTTGGTAATAACAATCGTTAGTATCAGATTTTACTATTTTCACTTTTTAAATTTTGGTATAAAATTAAAATAAAAAAAATTTTCTACGTAGTATCAATATTTAAATAATGAAAATAATAAGTTTTAATAATATTATTAAAACTTATTATTTTCAGAGTAAATTTTACTATTTCTAAAGTAAATTTTTCTAATTTTAATTGAAAAGTAGTATTCTATTAAAATGTTGATTCAAATTTTAGAAAAATTGCAACTTTTGGAAAAAGATATAAATAAAAATTAAATAGTTGACAAAAAAAATTTTTAAAAACAGTCTGGTTTAAAGAAGCTGCAATTAACAGTTAAGAGAATAGTAAAAAAACAATAAAATAAACTATAATCGTTATAATAAAATAATTTTTCTCTTAATTGGAAAAATTCTCCTTTTTCATTTTCTATTTTTAATTTTTTTTAATTATATCCCCTTTTCTAAAAATTAAAATCCCCTTTTTTTTATCCAATTTTACATGAAAAAAAAATGTAAAAATCACTGTGATCCCTGTAAACGGAAGTGAATAATGTAAATGAAAGTTGAGAATATATAGATAACATTTTTAGATAAAGATGCAGTGTTCTTTATTTATTTATTTATTTTTATTATATATATAGAGTAAAGTAAAAAAAAATTAGATATAATACGTGATTTCGAAAAAGGTTACGCGAACTCTTAAATAAAATTTTTTTTTCAAGAAACATTCTTTTTCACACACTAGTAAAAAAATAATTAAAGTGTGAAAATTGTTTAAATTCTGAACTCTGTGCTTTCTCAGCTTCTTCATTCTTTGAGTCGTAATCATCATCATCATCAATCGGACTCAATTTAGAGATTAAGCTCGAGATCATTATAGACAATTCCATTTCTTGTCACGAAGGTTGAGAGACCTCTTCATTTTCTAAATACCACATTATTAAATAAAATCATTTTTTTACACTTTTTTTTACACATTTGTAAAAAAGAAAAAATATTTGATAATTACCAGCGTCTTCGTAAAAGAATGAAAATTATACGAATTATTGAATTTAAAATTAAATATATTATATATAACTCGATAATAATGATAATAATACTAAATGCGCGCCAGTGTTCAAAATGTAATTTAAAGTTTAGAAAAAAATACTTTCATTCTGAATTCTTTTTTTACAACATTTCTTGTTTGGGAAAAATATTTTTCCATTTTATCGGAAAATTTTTGATTGCTTTATGAAAAATTGCAAATTAAACTAAGAAGCGAAAGAAACGGCAAAAAAAATATGATGGAAAAAAATAGGAATTAACAAAAATGAAAACAAATACAATTGTTAAAAACTATTTATAATTGAAATTGAAATCGAAATAATGAAAAAAAGGTTTTTTCTCCTACAAATAGAATTAAAAATTTGATTTGTATGGAAATTTTCAAATTTAAACTTTTTCTGTTTTTCCACGAACTCTGTAAAATAATTTGAATAAAATGTGATAAAAGTTATGGAAACAAAAAAAAAATTATTGTAATAAAATAATAAAGATATAAAGTAATGAAAATGTAGAAAGTAGTAAAGAGATAAAACGTAATATATTTAAAGAGAGATATAAAGTAATAAAGATCTCTCCGTGTTTCTACAAAGAGACACGAGATATGAGAAGATGAAATTTCGTGTGCAAATGAAATTTGCTAATAATAGATTCGAAAGAAGAAATTTTCTCGTTTGGTCATGATTATTTGGTCAAAATTTGAAGGAAACACGAAGACCAAATTGGCGACTGGCCAAACAGTTATGATCTCCTTTCATGTGAGTTCAACAATTTTTTTATTTTTTATTCACTGAATTGCAGATTTAAATTTGAATTCAGAAAATTAGTGAAAAAAAAAATATTTTATATTTTTATCAAACATAAATTTTTTTTTATTAAAATACCAACGAGTGAGAAGTTTAACTATATTTTTATTGCATAATTTTTTTTTTAAAGAGGGAGAAGAAAGTTTAAATTTAGAATTTCAATTAAGAATTAAATTCAATTAAATTAAAAAATTTAGAATAAAATAATAAAATTGTTTCGAAATATTTTTTATTTACAATTTATTTTTAATTCTTTCCCAATTTGTTTTCAAATATCAATTTAGAAATTAAATTCAAAATTGAAAATAAAATAATAAAATTGTTTTCAATTATTTTTTCTTTTGAATTTCATTTTAAATATTTTTAAAATTCAATTATAAAATTAAATTCAGACTAAAGAATTGAATTTCAATTTTCGATTAAAAAAATTAAATACAAAATTCAAAATAAAAAATCGAATTTAAATTTTTAATTAAAATATTAAATTAAAAATTGAGACTAAAGAATTGAATTTAAATTTTCAATTTAAAAATAAAATTCAAATATCAGATTAAAAAATTAAATTTCATTTTTCGAATTAATATTAAATTCAAAATTCAGACAAAAAATAGAAATTCAATTGAAAAATTAAATTCAAAATTGAGACTAAAGAATTGAATTTAAATTTTCGATTTAGAAATTAAATTCAAATGTCAGATTAAAAAATTTAATTTAAATTTTGAATTAAAACTTTAAATTGAAAATTCATACAAAAAATTGAATTTCAATTTTCGAATTAAAACATTAAATTCAAAATTGACACTAAAGAATTGAATTTACATTTTCGATTGAAAAATTAAATTCTTAAATAAAATCAACACGGAAAAAATCTTGGGTGACGTGCCGTTCCAAGTAGACCGAAAATGTACGAATGCGATACGACTTTAGTTTGGAGGAGCTGCATTTCCAACTTGGGCGTGCTGAACGCCCAAGATGCGGCTATTGCAGTCCCAAGTTTTGAGTCTCAAATCTTGGGTGTTCAGCGCCACCGACATGGGAACGCAGATTTCCCGAATTGAGAACGTAGCACATCCAAACTATAGTTCCCCCACTTTCCGACGATTAAAATATTAAATTCAAAATTCAGACTA